GTACAGCAGTTCAACTCCCAGAATTCCCCAGCCAGCAGGCTGGCTGGGGAATTCTGGGAGCTGAAGTCCACACATCTTAAAGTTGCCAGGTTTGCAAAACACTGCTTTTGACAATCAAGGATACTCCTTAGTTGAGAATGTTCCTATCATTCATAGACATATCAGAAGCCTACAACCATGTTGCTATAATCCTGTCATACAAGAAATTCATACAATTCAATTATCAGGGCAATTATTTCAATTTAAAGCCTTTCCCATCACTCAAACCTCAGCTTAAATATTTTTAAAAATCATGAGAACCTGGTAACTCACTTCGACCTCCAGCAGTTGAATATTTACTCATATCTAGACAAAGCTCTTCAAACCTCTGAGATTAATTTTTTTCAGGCTACCATCCCTAAGATCCTATTTCTCATAGCCTTCATCTTGGCAAAATGAATCTCTGAAATCTTTTCAGCTTCCAAGAAATATACATTTTTCATAAATCTTAATCATTTTGAAACAGGATCCTTCCTTTATTTCTAAAATCAATAGGCCCTTTCACAGGTCTCTTGCTTTTTCTCTTTTCCTCCCTCCCTTCTTTCCATCCCATCCCTTGGAGAGGTAGAGCATAAACTGGGCATCCATAGAAATTAAACAATTATATAACACATACGATGTTCTTAAATCTCACTGAATCTCTGATTCAGAAGGCGTCTGGTAGCAACTTTTCTGATTAATGAAGACATTTTTGTGAGCTACAGTTCACTTTATCATATACAATTCCATCCGGCTGAACCTGTTGCTTCTTGTTGTAGACATTGTAGGACGAGAGCCATATTACTCTATGCTGGCCAAAAATCAGGAGGAGTCTGGTAGCACCTTTTCCAACTAACACACTTCATTAAAAGGCATAAACTTTTAATAATGTGCAGCTCACCAAAGCTTATGTTTAACACATTTTAACACATTTAATAAAACATGTTAATCAGAAGAGGTGATTAACCCTTCCTGATTTTTTTGCCACCATAGACAGCTCCTCCTACAATAAAACTCTGATTCTGTGATGGAATGGAATTATGAAGGCCAGACTCAGGGAGAAAAACATTTTCTTTC